ATTTACGTATATTATATAAATATATTTTATTATTAATTTTTTTTTTTATTATAATTCTAATAGGTATATTTCGAATTTCTCAAAAATGTTTAGATTTCAGTTGTATCTTATTATATTATCATTATTACATTCAGTTGTATCACTATTTTTTATAATTACGTAAACAAATAAAAATATAGAGAAGACTTATTATTTGTTATTAAATTTGCAAGTTTAATATTTTTCTACCTTTGTAATGAGTCAATTATTATTATATCATCATTACGTTATCTGGTATTGATCTAGATTTCGTTATATGATATCATCTTTGTTTTTGAAAAGTGAAACATAATTACCGCCAATTCAATGAGATAACACGTTATTTCTCTCAATTATTTTTCCATTTAATTTTGCGGAAATCACGCGATGTGTTTTGTGTTAGATTTCAATGTTACAACATTACAATGTTCCTAAAATGTTTTACTAAATTCTGAATCGTAAATATTCATATCGAAATAAAGAAAGGCATGTGTTTAAAAACATTACATTTCAAATTATCAAATTCTAGAAAAATTAAGAAGTCATTAATAATACGTATTACTTATTATAAATATATTTATAATATTGTTCAGCCACTAGTTTTTTTTTATATTAATACTGACTTCATTTAAGATATAAAGTAGACAAAAATTTGTTTATTCATTTTTATTTATTTCGATTAATATAGAAGTATTTTGGGGTGACATTACAGATATATCACATTTATAGGTAATTGAACTTAATACCGGCAACGGGTATATAATCTCAGCAACAAATTCGTATCGTTCACGTCAACAAAAGAGATGGAAGAAACTGGAGAAAAAATATCGAAAACTCTTCCGGCTCTATTGACACGTACGAGTGCGGCCTCCTTGTTCCTAAATCGGCTAAGGTCTAAACGCTCAAAGCAAGATGACAATGAGCTTGAGAGTGGTCGAGTTCAGTATGAATCGTCGCCACCACCAAATAATTCACTAAATCCCATGTCCTCCATGGAAGATTACTCCATCATCAGCGAACGTGCCAGTTCTGAGGAAATTGACCGCACTGCTCTGCGTATTAACGAAGATTTTATCAAAAACATTCTCACGGAACACAGAAGACGCATGGGCTGCAAATCGCAAGTCTGGGAAAATCTCGAGTCGGGCAAAACGAGTGAGATAAATACGGAAATGGTTCCCGCTATCAAGTCCAATGAAATCAACGTCTTATTGCTACAGGCTTGTTTCACGGCTCGTACGGATCTCATTTGCCGCCTTATGTAAACACGGAGCCAATCCCAATTACACCGAACCTAATCACGGTCTCACCCCGTTGCACCTGTGCGCATTTCGGAATTGTCTCGACGGTGTCAAGCTCTTGATAGAACAGGGCGCGAGCGTCGATACCAAGTCAAAGCATACGCCGTTTCATTACGCCGCTTTCGGAGATGCGCTCGACATTGCTCAGTACTTTCTGCAACAGGGTGTCAGTCAGCTATCACCGCATGACACTGAAGAAACGGTGTTGCACGTGGCTGCACGAAGTAATGCCCTGCGCGTACTTTCTCTACTGGCGCCGAACAACGAGGTGCTGCATCGCTTGGATCAGGACGGATATGCCGCTATTCATCACGCGGCCGAAAGCGGAAGCGTGGCTTGTTTGGATATAATTCTGAAAGCCGGTTGTCCCGTGGATTTACCTACCAAAAAGAACGACACCGCTCTACATCTGGCCGCGGGAGCTGGTTGCGCCGACAATTTGGCTCGTCTGATCGAGGCGAACGCTAATCTTCAGCACAAGAATCATCGAGGGCACACGGCTTTACATCTTGCCGCTCGTTCGCATTCTTTGGAATGCGTGGAGATTTTATTGAAAGGTCGCGCGAATCCCAACGTGCAGGATGACGAGGGTCGGACACCACTGCATCTGGCTCTGGGGAAGTCCCTGATGACCGACGACATCACCGAGCTGCTCCTGAAATGGCGGGCGGACGTGAACAAGGCGGACAAATACGGCTACACACCGCTTCATATCGCTGCCTCGAATGAATTGTCACAGTGCGTGGACCTATTGATAAAATACGAGGCGGATCTCAGCGCCAGGACCATTGGCGGTAATAGCGCTCTGTCTGTCGTTCTGCGTAAGACCCCGACGTCTCTGGATGTATTCGAGCGTAGGCTGGACACGTCTCTTACTCTGAGACGACATGGATTCGTCGCGGGTGAACTCGAGCTGCAGTTGGATTTCCGTCCGTTGCTGCATCACCGGCGGCGGAACCGACAAGGTCGCTCACCCGAAATCAGCTATCTGAATACCTTCGTGAAGGAGGGTTACAAAGAAATTCTGGAACACCCATTGTGTCAATCTTTCCTACATCTCAAGTGGCAGAAAATCCGAAAATACTACGTCGCAAGATTATTCTTCTATTTGTTTTACGTGTTGATCCTTACGAGCTGGGTGATAACCGCTCTCGCTCATAACTGTTACAACGAGTCAAAGAAATACCAAATCGACATCCCGCCATTATGCACGAATGCGACCGGAGTGTATGGCTTTCTTTATGAAAATCGGGTGGTCCTTGAGTCCCAGTGGTACGCGCTGTTGGTGCTCACCATACTTGAGACTTGCCGCAAATTTACTGTCATTCCCAGTTATCGGACGGTCAGACAATTCTTTACACAAATGGAGAATCTGGTCGAATGGTGTGTAATTCTGGGCGTGCTCGCCACTTCCTTCGTATATACGGGAAGAACGTATACTTGGCAAAGTTATGTAGGCGCCTTCGCCGTGCTCTGTGGTTGGAGCAATCTGATGTTGATGATCGGGCAATTACCGGTGTTCGGTGCTTACGTTGCCATGTTTACCAGCGTGCAGGCACAAGTGTTCAAACTGCTTTTGGCCTATTCCTGTTTACTACTAGGCTTTACTGCAAGCTTCTGCGTGATCTTTCCGCATTCCAATTCGTTCAGCAGTCCGCATATGGGTCTCATTAAGATCCTCGCAATGATGACCGGTGACGTAGGCTTCGAGGACTTTTTCTTTTCGAACGACAAAGGCGGCTTTTACAAGAACATCGGTGGAACTTCATGGATTCTGCTGCAGATCTCGGCCCAGATCTCTTTCGTATTGTTCCTCCTGTTTGTGACGATCGTGCTGATGAATTTGTTGATTGGTATAGCGGTACATGATATTAAGGGTCTGCAGAAAACCGCGGGCCTCGCAAAACTCGTTCGCCAGACAAAACTCATTTACGACGTAGAAATTGCGATTTTCCTGGGATTTACGCCGTCGAAACGTTTCGTCAAGTGCATGCGATGGACCGCATTGTTCCTCCCGTCACCTCTACGAGCCGTCCTAACTGTTCGTCCATTAAACCCCAGAGAGAGGAGATTACCACGCGATATTCTCTCAGCCGCGTACAAAATAGCGAAGGAGGGAGATAGACAGAACAGTTTTTTTCTAGCACGCAAGAAAAGTTATGAACAGACCTGTTTCACGAAAGCCTATCCGAAAGCCGACGCGCGTCGTCAACGTTGCAACACGATTAATGACGACACGTTGCAACACGATTGCAACAAATTCAAAGATGACATCGCGGAACTTAAGGGAATTTGCGAAAAAAATCACATTCTCCTTCAAGAACTTATAAAAGCGCAAAATAATAAAATAAATAAGTAAAATTGCCAATCGTAAGACGTTGGAAATATTTGGAATTCACAACCATTCGAAATTTCACAAAAATTCGATTACGAGGCAACGATAAGAGACTTTAAAACTTGGGACTTACAGAACATGGCATCGATGCATCATGAATAATTAAAATGTCACGAAGTAATTAATCGTGTTTGTCTTTTTATATCTTCCAGCAAGCATTTTGCTGTCTAAATTGCTTTGCCTGAATTATTGCTTGATCTCTGTGATACAAATGATTATGTCCAACATCAGTTATATTTAACTCCGTCCATTTTCATATATATGAATTTTTATTATAAGCACTAGGGACTTGCATAATTTTATGCATAATAGATTCTGTGTTTAAATAATTAAAGTGTTTTGCTTTGCCGCAGTAATTGTATAAAATCCGAAGAAAAAATTAATTTAATTACTTCAATCTTTTAAAATGTATACGTATGTAGTTTTTCAAATATAAACTTTTAGTATTTAGTATGTATTTAGTATCTAGAATAACATGAATTCGTGACGCGGATACAAATGTATATTGATGAGACCTTAGAGAAAACAGGACATTCTATTTATATTTCTGTAAACATGTACACTTATACAATAGTTTTTATAGGATCTCTTAACTTTTGTCAGAAAAATTTCCTCGGTTTCGAATATATATACAAAATCTGTAATTAACCGAATATCTTTAGATTTTGATATAATTTGATTTGTTATGTCACATTTTATTACTTTTTGCTATATTTTTCGATATTAGTTTTTCTTTATCTTCAATTCTTTACTGTATAAATAAGAATTTTGTATTTTTTTTACTATTTGTTTTTAAATTACATTTAATTAATTAATTTACATTTGGATCTGAATAAATGTAATTAGATACATTATTGTTGCCAGATTTTCTAGAATTTACTTTCATGTATTTTTAAATGAATAAATTTTTGTGTACCAGAATTGAATTTAGTAGATATGTTAATGAAACTATCTTGCTGGTCAAGTTCCACTTCATTTTTTTTCAACAAAGTCAAAGAATATATATATTATTGATACGTGTAGGCTAACAATCAAAACCGGTTCTAATCTGCATAAGTTCTCATCCGTTGAAAGTTCAACTTTCAGAATAAGAAACCTGAGTTATGAGTTAAAACGAGGACATTGTAGATCCATTTCTTGGAAAAAAATTTAATAGGCTAAATTTTAGAGAAACTTCGTACTTTAAACTCTATACTTTATCATTTCGCATATACAAATTGGCAATATTCGTGTTTAGCCAACTTAATGATTCTCCGTTTTCCAAATCGGTCATGAGAAATAGATAAAAAATCGTACGAAAAAATGCATTACACGTTCCATCGCATTATGGGACCGAAGGTTTCTCACAGCCTAAATAAAATCGCCGCGAGGCAAATTGTTTTGTGTCTTGAATTCGAGTATTCGAAAATCGCTTTTTTCTTTTTTTTTTTTTTGTTATTAAAGTGAGTACTAGCACAAGATCTTCAAGTGCTATGTTTAATTTGCATATTTCATTATATCGACAATTTACAGGCAGCTAACAGCTCGAAAATATCTCTTGGCAGAAATCTTGTAAATGTATTTAAGATGAATACAAAATTAAAAATTACGTAAACGGTTTGTGATATTCGCGATCACGTGATGGTGAAAGGAGTTTGTCTAGATTCGCATTTCAGATTCGGGAGGCTATGAAAAAGAAAAGAAACAAAATATTTTATAATATGAAAACTAAAGAATAACGAGCGAATGGAATCGAACGGATTTCAGCATGACAAATAATAATTGCTTTACCGTCCAATTTTTAAGATACAATAAATAAAACAATTTTTAATTCAAAATTTATAACAAAGAATATTTTTAAAAATATAATTTTAAATTACATATTATTTTTGCAGATATTCGATATAATTTAAACAATTCTCTTTCTTTCTCTTTGGCCTTTATTTAAAAAAAAAAAAAAAAATTTCAATGTTTTTAGCAATTGGAACATTCTGGTTTGATAAAAATATTTTTTCTCTTTTCTTGTCTCTTAGCTCAACCTTCATCCATTGATTTCAACAAGAAGAAAATGATTTATCATTATATTTGATTAAAAACGCAAATATCTGCGTCTAACAATATTTTATAACGATAACATGTGTAAATAACAATGCTCCAGAATAAAACTCAAATAATCTTCCAGCGAAAGATATTTTTTTCACCTTTGTCCAGATTAATCCAGAATTTAATAGAAGGCGGTATCTCGTGTAAGGTTCGCGACAAATAAATCTCGAAATCGATCTACATATTTCTTAGTAATATTTAATCTTCTTTAATTCTTAATATATGTATTTTGTTTAACGTGCCCCCCTGCTTGCAGATTCCTCTTCCCGCACGAAACGGCGGAGGCGTACGCAGAATACGTCATGCAGTACGTGCAGCGCGATCGTACAAACCAGTTAAATCCGCCGTAATGCTCGTTGAATCGTCAAGCGAATACACCAAGCGATAGACATCTTGAGCTGACATAATTTTTACGATTAGAAAATGCGGTCGAAATCCTCCTCGGCCCGTTTTTGCATTCTAAAGTCGAAAACTCGGGGGTTTCCTGAGCCAGTCTTTTTAGACTCGTATAAATACGTGTCTCGGAAGGTCTGAGCATTAAACGGGAAGACGAATTGAGGATCGGTACGAAGCCGGTAACGAAAGGAAGAAGAGGGAGTGTGGTGTTAGTGAAAAATATAAAGTAACCACGCTATTTGTATCACTTTACTTAGTTTCGACATGTGCGTGCCATGTGATACCATAGATATTTGAATATTTGAACGTTTGATATTTGATAACGTATTTACTATGTATGTACGTATTGATAATGTATTTACTAAGTTAATGGAATATTAATATTGAATCTTTTGTGTGAAGAACAGAAGAAATATTAACGCACGAGGAGCGGAAGAGATTATTACTAACGATGCAATTAAGAAATAGAAGACAAATTGCTAACGTTATGTAAACTTGAAAAGTTGTAGTGTAGTATTTTGTTGTAACAAACAAAGAGGTATATATGAATTTGAGGAACCGGTCCGGCAATAAGAGTAGCCTGGAGGAAATAATCTTTACTCGCTTCTATTTCTGTTTTTGTGTCAGACATTATACTATACATCAAGGAAGATGTCATTAATCGTGGGTTGTCCAGATGAATGCAAGTCATGATCGAATCAATGCAGCAGCTAGGATATAAGTCACTCGGTCGTACTCGAGACAATAATAATTCTCTCTTGAAGTGACCTAAACGACTCGTAGGCGTGACGTGTAGCCGAAGAAAAGAAAGAGAGAGGACTGAAGAGATGGATGACGACGTGACTGTAATAATTGGGATGCTTCTCCGCGCGAATCATCACATAACGGTGCGAATACTTAAGTGCTTAATTACGAAATAGCGTTTACATTGGAAGTTTAAATATTGTACAGCATAACAGCTAAAGTAGCTCGGACAAAGATACGTAGTGGAATAATAAGATTATTAGAATCACAAATGGTTCAATCATTCAATGAGATAAGATTTGTAGAACGAGATCTGTAATGTCTGAGTGTCTTGTCTTGAGAAAGAATCTGAGATGACAAAAAAATGACGATCGTACAAATAGAATCGATGAATTGTTCGGATTGAAAGTAATCCAAGCGACCAGATGAAGAATGTTTTAACGACTTGAAGAAATAAGCGCGAAGGTAGTCAACAAACTTATCTCACAAATAAGTTTCGATTCGATTGAACATGTATGAAAATGATCGAGATTCATTGGAAGAAAAGAGTATTAAATCGAAAGATCTCGAGATGACTACTCTAAGGATACCGCCTGTTTTGAACGATGAACAGCATTTTTGTTCTACCAGCAGAAGCTTCAACAGTCGTCACAAGAACGATCCGTTGTCCGTGAGATTGGCCTCCACTTACAGATCTTTAAGATCTGCATATGCGGCAGGGGATTATCCAGAAAAAAGCGCGATTAATGATATAACCGTACCGAAGTTCGACAACGATGGGATCGAGATCGATGCCGGTGAACCGCCGCCGGTCGATGATTCCCTCTTCTTTGACAATTTGGAATGCTGCAAGAATCACTACGTGAACGGCGCCAGATTGAGGTCGGCTATATGGTCCATCGTCGACTCGGCGGAAACGAGGCTGTTGCTGCAAATGGAAAAGAATCGCGCGCTCCCGAGAGCGTGCAAAAGCGAGAAACTACGGAGTGTCGCTTACATCTGGGCGTCCTATCGCGGTCTGCTGCATCTTCTGCCGGAACTGGAGAACGCCGGGGCGCGTTGCGACTACGTCGAACCGCGTACCGGCGTGAACGCTATTCTGGCGGCTTCGTTGGGCGACAAGCTCGCCTGCGTGGAGTATCTGATTGAAAAGGGTGCCGATGTAAACTACGAGAGCTCGATCACCCGTTACACGCCGCTTCATTTCGCGGCGCTCGGTAATAGCTGGCACGCCGCGGCCACGCTGCTGGATCACGGCGCGAAGCTCAATTACGTTTGCCAGGGGGTGGTCGAGCCTGTTCTGCACAGTGCCGTTCGCGCGAAGGCGGTGGAGACGGTGAGGCTGCTGCTCGAGCGCGGTGCCAGCGTCGTCGAGAAGAATCACCTGGGCCAGACGCCGTTGCACGTGGCCTGTTTCGTGCAGTCGATACCGTGCGTCGAGCTGCTGTCTGCCAGCGCGCCCAACGTCAACGCCGTGGACAGAGAGCACAGGACGCCTCTGCACTTCGCCGTGATGAGCACCGCCTCGTCCGCCGAGTTGGTACAGCTGCTGCTGAAGCGCGGTGCCTTGGTGAACGCGATCGACCGGACCGGCTTCACGCCCCTTCACATTGCCGCGCTGAACGAGCAGTCTCGATGTGTGGACGCGCTGATCTGGGCGGGCGCGGATATCAGCGCGACCACGTGCACCGGCCTGTCCGCGCTGAACATTATACTGAAGAAGATTCCCGAGTCCCTGCATGTGTTCCGGCAGCGATTGGACGCCTCCATCGGACTGACTCGACCGGTACCGCACAATCGCGAATTCGAAATGCGATTGCACTTCGACATTCTGTTTCCCAGCGGTAACCGGTGCGAGACCAGCTTCATAAACTGCTTTGTGCGGGAGCACCGAAAGGACCTGCTGTCGCATCCGCTGGTCATGGCCTTCCTGCATCTCAAGTGGGAGAAAATTCGTAAACTCTATTTGCTGAGGATACTATTGTACACTATGACGGTGATATGCATGACCACTTACGTCCTGACCGCGTTGGCATATAAATGTTACAATTATAACGATGCCAACAGCTCGAAGATATGCGGCAGCAAACGGGCCTCCGCTTTTCTCTTCCGGAGACCGATCATCGAGGTCGAATGGTACCTCGCGCTAGTTCTAACATGCATCACCATACCGAGGAAGATATTTGGCTTCATGGTCTACAAGTCGGCGATACAGTACTTCTCCAGTATCGACAACGTGCTGGACGGTGTGGTGATCGTCAGTGTGTTCGTCACGTCCTTCGTCTATACCGGACGCACCTACGACTGGCAAAATTACGTCGGTGCGTTTGCTGTACTCTGCGCCTGGACCAACTTGATGCTGATGGTGGGCCAGTTACCGGCGTTCGGCACCTATGTCGCCATGTTCACGCACATCCAGTTCGAATTCGCCAAACTTCTGCTAGCGTATTCGGGCCTGCTGATCGGTTTTACTGTCAGTTTCTGCGTGATATTCGCTGGCGAACCCGCGTTCGATAATCCTTTCACCGGACTGATCAAAGTCCTGGCTATGATGGCCGGTGAATTGGACTTCGAGGGACTTATCAATCAGGTGGACGACGAGCCGACCGGTGGCCCTTTCGTCATTTATCATCCTTTATCGGTGTGCTCGCAGATTCTCTTCACACTGTTTATAGTCTTCGTCACTGTGATCTTGATGAATCTGTTGGTCGGTATCGCCGTACACGATATACAGGGTCTGAGGAACCATGCAGGGCTTACAAAGCTCGTGAGACAAACGAAGATGATTCTCTTCACGGAAATGGTGCTGCACAACACTACGATTCCTTATGCTTTCCGGAAATGGATGTCGGATCACAAGATCGACGTTGAAAATAGAAAACGAGTCCTTGTAGTAAAACCCCTTAATCCTCTCGAGAAGCGATTGCCTAAGGATATAATGAAAGCCGCTTACGAGATCGCGCAGAAGAACATTCCCTTCGTAAATGACGATATCAATTTGAACGATCATGCTATTTGGTTGAAACAACGACAGAACGAGGAGTTCTCCGACATTGCTTTACAAATGACGTTTGAGAAACTGATCGCTATGATGAAAGTGAATGAAGATGCTATAAAATTGCTGAAAATACAATTGCTAGAAATGAACAAGATGCTGGAAACTATCACAATCACGTTAACGAAGGAAGAACGTACCTCGTTATGACTTGGATAATTCAACATCGGTATGATCCGATATTTCCGGCAGTTATGCATTACTCGCATTATGTGATTTATTAATTTTTAAATATTAATAAGATGTACATTTCTATTCTGATGATTGATTATTGTTGAATATTTCTATCAATTCATATATGTATATATATATATTATTTTTTTTTTCGTTGTAAATATATTTCTCCTTATAAGTAAAAGAAAATTGTATATAATATTGTGTTTTTATTTCTGTCAATATAGAAATAATTATTTCTTTTATTTTATTAGATATCCAATAATTTTCTAAATCGATCTTTTCAATCTCGCCTTTTGGCAATTATTCATTAATCACTTGGAGTGAATTTACAAAGTTCATGTTCAAAGTCTTTCATGTTTTTTGTATCTTTTTCTGTTGCAGATTATATTTCCATTATTATTTACGAACATGACTGATAAAGTAGATATCGAAGCCACAGTTAATGGTGGAGGGCCTACTGGTCAGTCGGGTGCTATACGTTGGGGTATTGCATGGGGCTTACGTAGCTTTGTTGACAAACCAATGATTGAAAGAATGCGAGTTGGTAAGAATCATTTTGACGAAATATCGCTGTACAACATGATATGTATTTGATAGCGATAGTATTGTATTATTGCAAATGAAATATAATAACAAATATTGATAATAAAAAAATTATTTTAAATTAGCTGGACTTCTAACAAGAGACTGGAGAAAACGTGAGAGAAAGAAGTGGGGTCAAGAAGGTGCCAGAAGAAAATTCTCTTGGAATAAACGTTAATTTTGTTTATTCTCGTGTAATTTTTACATTACACATAACATTGTATGAAACACTATAACTAAGTATCTCATTATACAATGTCATTACAAAATGTCTCAAGATAAAGCTGATATTGAATACAAAATAGATGCACAGTTTATGATAAAAGTTTTACTATTGATAAGTTAGCTGGAGTCGAATCTTTTCCAATATCACAGTCCATTTGTCTTTACATCTCTTTCAGAGGTATTAGACCAAGTAATTTCATGCCTTGGGCAAGAACATTTTTAGCAACATGGAACAGCAACAATCTTTGACTAGCAACATCAGGCGATTCATTTTTCACTTTCAATAAATTGAAAGCTTTATTAATTGCATTACTAAAAAGAAAAAAACAAAGAAAGTATAAATATTCAAATCAGATAATCGTGGAATTAAATAAATTTTGAAGTTTATATTTTACCTTAGATTAAAAAGATACACAATTAATACACAAGCTTCTATCTCTTCATATGACTTCAATATTATTTCATCGAATCTCGCAATTAATATGACTAAATCATCAATGATTTCTTCTTGTAATAGACTGGGATCACATTCCGAAATTAGGATTGCATTGCAATTGCGCTCCAAATTAACGAGTCGACAGTGTGTATATTGCAATTTTATGCCAGTGTCCCCTTTTAACTGATCTTACAAAAGAAATTAAGAAACCAATACATCGCATATCAAAAAATGTCTCTATAATATAGATTGCTTACATCAAATGCTGCATTCCAATCGAATGTATAATCTCGTTGCCGTTTTCTCTTCAAATCATGAACTATCATCGCTGATATGCCTAATATATCTGAGCTCTTATCTGTCGAATCTAAATTAACTTTAGTGGCTAAAAAATTTATTATAATTAGTTTTATGTAAAAAATTCTTATACCATACATAATTATATCATAGTTATGGTATAAAGATTTTATGTTGCTAAAAATATTAACATACTATGTGAATCAATTTGTTTCTGCTTCATAATATCTCTGACAGTGTCCAAGATATCTTCTAAAAATACTACATTTCCCTTTCTTGTACGCATACCATTCAAGCGGCCAAATTTTATATATTTCAATCTTTCAACCCATGGCATTTCCATTCGTTTCAATATTTCTAACAAATTTGAAAAGTGATTGACTTGTGTATTATCTACTACATAGTACATACAGTCGAAATTATTCTTTTCAAATCTATCGATAGCTGCAGCGATGTCTCTAGTTATATACAAAGTAGAGCCATCACTCTTAATTATAGGAACACTTTTCTCATTATCCAGATTCACAACTTTTCTACCCTGTTCATCCTTTATTAATAATTGCATTTTCTCCATCAACATAATTATTTTTTCCATGTTTTTGGCATTGTACATAGATTCCCAATGATATTCATCAAACGTAATACCAATTCTATTATAAACTTTTTTTAATTCTTCAACAGTATACTGTTTAAACATTTTCCATCGTTCATGTGTGATTCCTGTGCCATTTTCCAAATCATTAAATATTTCTCTCGCACGAGTCAATATCGAGGAATCAGTTTCAGCTAATTTATTAGCAGCAACATATGCCGTGTACAAAGTTCTTATAGGACTTCTTTTCATTTCATCCTCATTGATATCTGTCATATCAATTCCCAGTTGAACTAAACCATATTGTGTACCCCAATCACCCAAATAGTTTATTTTCTTTACCTTATTTTTTACAAAACTGTTGATATTAGCAATGTAATTTCCTATTATTGTGGATCTTAAATGTCCCATATGAAAAGGTTTCGCAATGTTGGGTGAGCTAAACTCTACTATTACATTTTTCTTATTATTCATGAAAGTTGGACAGGACACTGTTGAACAATTCTGTTCCAAAACTTCTTTGATAAATCTGTCTCTGGAAATATTAAAAGAGATTGTATCATTCTCTATATTAATATTGTTGAAAATGTTGGTTGAATCATCGTTTACAATATTTTGTACTTGATTCTGTATATTATACTGTCTAGTTTTCAACGGAAGTAGGAAAGAATAGATTCCATTTGTTTTATGCGTTTTTAAATGCAAGTTAGATGCAACAATGGATATATTTGTATCATTAGTATTTCGCAAAGATTTTACAATCTGAAAACAAAAATATAATTAGATAAATATAAATAAAAATATAATTAGATAAATAGTAATAAAAAATAGGGTAATTACTTAGAAATTATTTAGAATATCACCCATCACTTCCGATTTCGATAAAATTGGGCTCAATCGATGCGGTTTCATTTAAAATAAAAGAATCTGGAAAAGCGCGGCAATCTGCCTCGCGAATCGAGATATTAAGCGTTAAAATTGACCACTTTTTGATTAGGAAATTTATCATAGCGACTCGATACAGCGCTAAAAAAGTGTTAAAAGTGTTAAAAGTGTTATTATATTCGAAATGCAAGATACAATCTTTCGCCTTATTAATTGACGAGTCTATCATATACTAAAATGACAAATCCTAGAAAGATTAGCAAAGACTCCAACGCAAGGATTAGGTGTGAAATTTTCGCTGATCTTTTGTTACAAATCTAATCTTGTATTATTTTTGTAATTTGTTTTATAACAGTGGCGGGGGAGCTTTGCCCCTCTCCCAACTTCCCCACCAGGGGCTTCGTCCCCCGAACCCCCCCTCTCATGCACAAAGTCACAACGCATGCTCAGTTCGCTGCATTATGTCGCTGACAGATTTTCTAACCAAAAAAGTGGTCGCGTTTTTCTGCCAGATTCTTTTGTTTTAAGTAAAACCGCGTCGATTGAACTCAATTTTATCGAGATCGGAGGTGACGGGTGGTATTCTAAATAAATATCAAAAATAGATTTCAAACTATTGCGATCAGTATTTTATTACAAAAGAAAAAAAAATACCTTTCTTAAAATTACAGCCTTCATACTATCACTCATGATTGATTATTTTATATTTTAAATAATGCGAATAATTGTTCGTTTGTCATAGAATTATTTTCAATTTTACACAAGAAGTTGTAAAACGACGAGTGATGAAAAAATGATTTAGTAATTTTTTTTGAAACTGCTCCCTGGATGAGGAAACTACGGGTGCCTTCAACTTCCTACTAGTTACATAGCACAAGTCCTCTTATTTAGAATGTAATACCCATCTTTAAGTTTTTAATATCCAGAATATAAATTATTTTTTTCTCAATCCCAGTACAATTAAGCATAATGCGAGTTTCCTTCTTTTAATCTGAACATAAGTTTCCACATGAAACTTTCAAAAATTGCAGAGTAATATACGCGGAACGAGAGCTAGGTTTGAATCTGATAATCACAATAAGGTTGACTATAGAAAGAGAGAGAGAGAGTGAGTGAGTGAGTGAGCTGAGTGCCGAAACATCGGATATATCATTTTATTCTTATTCATTGGATGTTAAATAAAGATAAAATGATACCTGAGTATACTAAATATTATTTCTGAACAAACTCGGGGTCTGTTCTTTTTAGCTGAACTGACTGCACTAGTTCAGAGTTTATCTTTCTTCTTCCAGTGTAAGAAAGAAAGATAGACTGTGAACTAGTACAGCCAGTTCAGCCAAAAAGAACATGCCTTCGGATTCACACTGGGCTGAGTTCAGAAACATTGGATGTATTATTTTATACATGTTTTTCGTCAAATATTAAACAAGGATAAAACGATACTAGGGAGCGCTCGGGTATTATTTCTGAACGCACCTCTGTGTTCGATGGGAGCGTCCCGTTTGACCACGTTGCAATTGAGGCCTGTTTTTTTTGTTTAACTGGTTGTACTAGTTTATAGTTTATCTTTCTTTCTTAAGCCAGCAGCACACGATGCTTTTTTTCCTGCTGGTTTGCTAGCTGGATTTGCGTGCTTAGTGAGCTCTTATTTTTGATTGATATATTCTTTTAGCTCTAAAAAAATATAATCAATCGAAGACAAGAGGTCAGCAAACACGCGAATCCAGCTAGCAATCCAGGGCCGGATTCTGTACTCGCTTACCGATAACTATCGGTATCGTTAACTAACGATAGCCAATGATAGCTGCGCTTTTTTTCAAGATCGTCCTTGCCATTGGCTGTCGTTAGTTAACGACACCGACAGTTGTTGGTGGACATATACAGAATCCCGGCCCAGCAGGAAAAAAGCATTGTGTGCCGCTGGCTTTACACTGGAAAAAGAAAGATAAAATCTGAACTAGTGCAGCCAGTTCAGCTAAAAAAAAAACAGAGCTTTGAACACAAACCACTTACGACCGATGCTTGAAGATTTTCCTTTGGATTAACCAATCAAATAATTTTAAATTGGCCAATCGACCGTGGGCAATCGGGCATTATACATCGGCCAATCGGCCGTGTTCGATAAATGATGATCCCATATCCAATAGGAGAATTTACCTTTAATGCGGTCTACAATGAAGTTGTAATGTCGATACGATCGACAATCGGAGAAGAGAAAACCATATTCTGTTCTAACGCATTGTAGACCGCGCATAAATCAATGTAGTAAATATATTTTCTGTGATACTTGTAGAATATTTAGTATATTTTTATATAATATTTATAATTATAAAATATTTAGTATATTTAGTAGAATATTTTTAGTAGGATAATTATATAAAAATTTAAATGACTATATTTTGACTACGTTATTATAGATTGCTTTATGTTACAAGATGATTCAGATCACATCACATGTAAGCTTATTCGATTTTCCATAATTTAATGCGAAGTGTCAGTGAAAAATTTAATGCGAAAGATTTATGCTGTTCATTCAGTATGTATTCTATTCGATAATAATCAAAGATTATTTCGTTGTATTTCGATGTACCAAAATGTAAGCATATTTTACTTTTAATCGGGTATTCAATAAGTTACCAATGGTTATTTTGTTTTATGTAGCAAAATATATAAGTATATTTAATTTTTGTTAATTTTTCAATAGCTTTTCAATAGCTATTTAGCAGAAAAAGCAATTATGCAACTGTTGTAAAATTCTGTAATATGATTGATTTATATTTTTGTCCGATTCCACCAATGTAGATTAACTTTAATCTCGATTTAATTTATTTTTCACTTTTTTCTAGTTCTAAAAATTAGAAAAAGATGAAAAGCAAGTTAAACCGAGATTAAAATAAATCTACATTGGTGGAACCGGGCATTAAACATTCAATGAGGAATTATGAGTAAGAACCAATCATAATAAAAGATCTTACGACATACAAAGCTGTTTTTTTATCAAATGCAGTCATTAATCATTATCAATTATTTCGTTTTATGTATTACGATGTATAAGTACATCTTATTTTTAGTCTAATATTTCATAAATACCAATGGTCATCTCACTTCATGTATTTCAAAATTTATAATTGTTCCATTTTTGTTACACAATAAACTACATTTGTATGTAATGTTTCAATAATAAATAAAGAGGAATCTTAGCAACTATATTTTTTACATGCTGTCATCTCTTTCTCTCTTTCCCTCTCTATTATATTCATTTAATATTATTTTAATATCATTTATTCATTTAATATTATTAATCTATATTTCTAATGTATTTTATGCAAAACTGCTTTATAAAATAAGATCATTTTTATATCATTTGGATGTATTGATAATATCATGAATAAATAATGTCGATTGACCATTTTAATGTTAAGATAATACATAAAAAAAGGATTATTGATGTCTTTGATGTTTCTATGAGTTCTATTTAGGAACTTGGTAAAAAAATTTTTCATATAAAAACATATATAAATACATATAATTATATATCAAATACTTTCATGTATAATTTCTCTTTATATATACAAGATAAATAAAAAGAAAAAATAATTAAAAAGATCATTTTTGCATTTATTTTGTAGTAGTAAGTGAAATTTAACATGGAAAATGTTTATATGTAATTATATATAAATGTAATAATTGTATAGAACAGTTATATATACATTTGATTATATACAATGCGTCAAAGTCTGGATACAGTTGAATCGTTAAAAATGCAATAACAAAATCTGCTAAGATTGCTGCTCATGATCAGCATCACTTTATGGTATCAGGATTTGCTACGATTAAGCTATAATCCTCTATGAAGGAACTTATTAAACTATGATCTAACATTTTGACTGCTCGCTCGTGTAGGCTACTGACATTTTTCGGATCTCCATGTTTCATCTCAAACTTTATATAATCTAACCAGACAGACGTACTATTAGTTCCAAATTGCAAAATCGCCATGTCGTAAGGTCGTCGCATGTACTTCAGCGAAACTTCCGGTTGTATGAGTTCTAGCATGGCCATCTTCTTGTGAAACTCTAATGTAGTAGGTGGTTGCAGGCAAAGACTATCGTATGCCTTGCGGGCCGCACGAATGCCTGGAGTAAAAGCAATTGAGATAAATATTGTAAAGAGAGATTCGATATCAATAGGAAAATCTTGATAAGAAATAACAAAAGACAGGTAAAAAGTTAACAGATTATAATGATATTGAACCAATTACCTTCCGTTAAGACAAGCCATTCTAGCCATTCAGGCTTAATATCTCTGGCGATCAGCGGATATTTTAGAGCTGCCTGGAAGCTCTCTTCGACTTCGTCTGAGCTTCTTATCCGAGCATGAAAAATTCGCATTTTCCATAAGGGTACCGCTTTCTCACCTAATAATTGCGTCACCTGGTTGATAAAATATCAATATTTTAATATCGGCAAGATTAAATATAATGATTGAACAAGATTGATTTATAAGGTTTACTTTTGGATATAAAGCGTACGCTTCTTTCTCCTGGTCATGCTGTAATAAATAACTAAGTCGCATATGCCAAACAGCGAGGCTGTTTGGTAATGCATCGGTGGCTTCGCGCAATATTTCCTTCAGTTTTTTTCGCGCGCTCTCGTCATGTTCCTTGTCGACAGTTAATAAATCAATCTATAGAATGCAGAAACCATTTTATGTATTTATGTATTTATAAAATTAAAAAAAAAATAAAAAATAGAAATTCATTATTGATTTAAAGAATTCTTAGAATTAAAAAACTGATGAAATAAACGTATGGAATAAAAATTACTTAAAAGGAAATATATAATTATAATTTTATCTATAATTGTTAAATCATCAAATAGCGAAATGTTCCTTAATACAAACCCAAGATAAGTAATATTTTTCGTTTAATTTTTTCGCTTGATGAGCCTGCATCAAAGCAGTCTTCAAGAGTTTCCTTTTGAAATTCGGCAATGATCGTAAATCATTATTGATTTTCAATAAGCAATCAATGTAAAGCGACCACATTTCCTCAGTTTTGATTTTTTTTACGGCTGTCTGGTAGACTTCATTACAAGATGTGATGCGATCTCTTAATGAAGTCTGTTTGGCATTCTCTACTTCCATTGGGGTGTCACTGAGGCCTGGCTGTACTAATCCTTGTAATTCACGACGTGCCATGGTGTCCCACATTAAGGGTTCATGAGTATACTCTCGAATCATATCACTACAATTACAGGTTAATTGTATCTTTAACTTGATTTTGAAGAATTTATTATGATGTTAACACGTATGTTTACATACCAAATGATTTTTTTCTGTAGTTTCTCGGTATCTTTGTACTCCTTTGTGATATCAAGTAACTCTATTATAAATTTAATATCTTTGATGTATTCAAAAGCCTGTTGATATATGAAATATGCGGTTTTCAATGGAATTGGCATTTCACTCGTCACATCGTCCATTGGTGATGCAGAGCTATTTTCCTGACTTTCACTATTTTCAGCATTGTTAGGAGGTGTGGTTAAGCGATCATTCAATTCAAGTCTAGAAAAAAATAATGCAGATGTGTTTTAACTAAATAATAAATCTAGAAAAAAACAATGCAGATGTGATGATATTTTAACTAAATAATTGAAATTACAAAGTTTATCAAGATGTATACTTTGTACTTACTTAAAAGCATCAATATATAATAATTGAGAATCAGGGTGAATTTGTAAACCTCTAAGGAGATATTGTCGTGCACTTTGTTTATTATCGTTCTCCTCCAATTCCCAACACGCTGCTATGTGCCAACATTTCGGCTTGTCTCTATGTATCTGCAGCATCCTACCTAACATATGTGTGACACTGCTGTGAAAACGCTAACAAACAATAATTGGCTTAGTTATATAAGCAAACCAACAGATATTTATTTATTATGTTACTTACCATATGCTTACAGAATTTCATATAAGCAAGCCAAAACCTAATATCATCTTGAAATTTAGATATTGCCTCTTTGTATAAATTATTTATCTTGTTAGTTATAGCAAAATCAATATCTGATTTTTTCTGAGTATTACCATATTTCTAAAAAAAAATAATATATCAGAGAATTTATAAAATATGCACAGATAAGGCCCAGATACAATGAAAGAAATAAGGAACAAAAATATTTACATCTCTCCGTTGCTTGATCAGCTTCAGCAGATCCATTAGATACTGTATGTATCGAAGATAATCCTCTTTGCATTTCGTATGTCGTTGAATTTTATATTCGTATTCCTTGAGTTTCTTAGCGATGTTTCTGAACAGTGTAATAATGAACATCAGGACTCGTGGATTTACGAATAGGGACAAACATACATAACCTAAACCTGCATTTGACTCACCGAATCTCATTTTTATCAAAGAGCTTAATCCTCTCCATCTGCTCCAATTCGGGGATCATGTCCTGGCATCGCTTCTCCACGAATTCCGCCATTTTTCCAGAGTTTTAGGAAACTGATTGACACAGCACGTGGAAAATATTCACGAGTAAACGCAGTTGTTTCGTTTACGGTACGCTATGGTGAAAACGTGTTTAACTTCAAAACGGTGGTGCGAACTTGAGCCCGAGCACGCTGGCGATTTTCCCCCTCCACTTACACTCCACACACACACATACACCTAGAGACGTCCGTCTATCTGTGTGCATACGCGCGCTCGACCAAGTTCGATGCGTCGAACGAGAAAGAAAATGTCGTTCCTCCCCCTCTCGCTCCGCTCGCTCGACTCTACCGTGATCGAGAATGCTAAATGCTTTCTCAGCGTGAATCTGAGTCGCGGGCCCAATTATAATTGATATATGACATAAATGAAATATATGAATATGATTTTTAGGAAACATTTAGGAAACGCAGGATTACATGTAAAGTAACTGAAGAAATTATTTTACACTACTCAGTAAAAATTTTTTATATAAAATATATATGAATATAATAATGAGTATATAGTTAAATACGAAATAAATACGTTCACATACGTTTATATTAGTTTTTTTTTTCTTTTGTAAAACTCGTTTGGTGTAAGAAAAATAATACAGTAATAAAATAATACAGTAATAATACAATAATAAAAAAATACAAGAAAAATGATTGAAAAGATAATTTT